TGATCTAAAATCAAAAGCAAGGAGGAGGTGGGACTTGATCAAGGGCAATGTAGCCAAGAGGAATTACTGAAACCCAAATGAAGGCCTAACATGATAGTGGGACAAGAGGAAAGTAAAAGGAAACAGAGGAAAGAACTAAGAGGCAAAGGACATTTATAGAGGTCTAAATACAGGCATGTACATATGTAAATATATTTATATATGATGATGGGGAAATAGTTCTATGTACATATGCTAAGTATTAAGGTAACAGACAGACATTGGGCCTCTACTCATGTACTCCCTTAACGCAAGAACGCTTTGTTTGAAAAACCTGGCATTCCTTGATGCTCACCCTCCCGACTCAATTGCTGAAGACAAAGTGGGTACATAAGCAAATGTGGTGAAGAAAGCTGATGGTGCCCGACTATCAAAAGATATAGTGTCTGGGGTCTTAAGGCTTGAAGATAAACAAGCAGCCAAATAGATGAGAAGCAACAAAGCCCACATAGAAGAAGCACACCAGCCTGTGTATTATGAGGAGTCGATGGAATCAGATATAAGGCATCAAAGACCCAGAACAAAAAATCATATCAATGTAAATGAGGGTGGGTGGGTGCAGGATGGAGACCCAAAGCCCATCTGTAGACAATTGGACATCCCCTTACCAAAGGGTCACAAGGAAGAGACAAGCCAGTCAGGGTGCAGTATAGCACAGATGATTCCTCTAGTTCTTGAATGCTTCCTCCCCTCACTATCATGATCCCAATTCTACCTTACAAATCCGGCTAGATCAGAGCATGTACACTAGTACAGATCAGAGCTGAAAACAGCAGGAATCCAGGACAGATAAAACTCCTCAGGTCCAATAATGAGAGTAGAGATACCAGGAGTGTAAGGGGAATGTGGGGGGAGAAAAGGGCCACTGATCACAATGATATATCTAACCCTCTCCCAGGGGATGGACAACAGAAAGTGAGTGAAGGGAGATATTGGTCAGTTTAAGACATGAAAAAATAATAATTTATAAATTAGTAAGGGTTCATGAGGGAGGGAGAATAGAAGGAGGGGAAAAAATGAGGAGGTGATACCAAGGGCTCAAGTAGAAAGAAAATGTTTTGAAAATGATGATGGTCCCCCAATAAAATGATTTAAAATAAATAAATAGGAATGATGGCAACATGTGTACAAACGTCCTTGACACAATGGATGGATGTATGGATTGTGGTAAGAGCTGCACAAGCCCCCAATCAGATGCTTAAAAAATAAGGATTAGCAGTTCATTCTGTTAGGTCCTGACAAATGTAGTGGGGTACATATAGGAAAATGTCCTATGTTTGTGAAATACACACTGACGGAAACAGGAGTAAAATGTCAGCATGCCTGTAACTTATAAGAAAAACAAGTAATAAAACAAATGAAAAAAAAAAAGTGTTAAACCTAGATGCTGGACATTTTATGCCAAGGGAGTGGTCATCTGATATTATCTTCAAGACACTCGTGTTTAAAAATTCTCAAAATTAAAAAAGCAATTAGTCTCAAAACAGTAGGATTAAAAAATAAACTACACTCATGCAGAAGTTGTCAAGAGTGTGTTTAAACTATGGAATTATAAGAGATATATATATATTAATAAATAAAAATAAAAACCATAAAAAGTTGTCATGGGTTGCGCGCACATGCGCGCGCGCGCGCGCGCACACACACACACACACAGGAATTCAAGAATATAATTGATAAACACCAAAGAAAGGCATTTACTTGTCTAAGGCAACAATTATTACCCGTGTAAATTTTACATGATGAGGTACTAATTTTTTTTAACAAAGATAAAAGTGGGAAGCAAAGACAAACAGCAGTGAGGTCTTACATGGTCTCTCCATGAGGAAAAAGTTACCTTCCCTATATAGATTTGACATGGAAATGGAGTAACTAAATCTTCCCACAGGATTCTGTGTAAAATGTTCTCGTTGTGGGGTAGAGCTGAGTTTATTCTGGTGAAGAATCTGGGGGCCTACTTTAGATCAAGTTGGCCACTGTGCCATTTCATGGCAGTGTCATGAGCTTATACTTTATTGTCAAGTCTACTCCCAAATAATTAGTTCAAAGCTGTGCTGTCCAATATGACAGTCACTAGCCATATGTGGCTCCTGAACACTTAAAGTGTGGTAAGCCCAAAGTAAGACGTGCTAAGTACACTATATATATACACCAGATTTTTAACTGTCTGTATTTTGTAAACAAACAAAATATATCAATGAAATTTTGCATTTTGGTTATATGTTGAAATGATTCTATTGTGGACAGTGAGTTAACTAAAACATATTAGTAAAAATAGTTTCACCTGTTCCTTCTAACTATTTAAAAAGGCTACTAAAAAACATTAAATCAATGTGGCTTACACCATATATATCTACTGATCATAGCTGGTCTAAACCAATGATAACAATTCCATTCTCCTAGGCACTAACTTATTTAAGAATGAGTTTATGACCCAATTGTTGCCAAGGAGATATAAGGGGAAACCTTTCATCAGCTGTGAGAAAACAGATTCTTGTCAGAACCAGGAAGATCCAGTCTCCTCTTCTGGACAATATTGTGTCTGCATGGAATGCCTTAGATCAGTGGTTCTCAACCTGTGGGTCGCGACCCATTTGAGGGTCAAACAACCCTTTCTCAGGGGTTGCCCGATTCATAACAGTAGCAAAATTTTAGTGATGAAGTAGCAACGAGAATAATTTTATGGTTGGGGGCATCACCACAATATGAAGAACTGTATTAAAGGGTCGCGGCATTAGGAAGGTTGAGAACCACTGCCTTAGAATAATATAATCCTTGCTATGAGGATTATTGAAAAGCTGAAATCATGGGAGTGAAGCCTACTCTACTTATAGATTAAATGGCAATAGATGTCCTTACTGTTTAACTACTTCTCAGTCCTTTTAATCAAGGTTTTAAATTTGCAGCAAAAGCACCCAGAGTTTTCTTCTATTGTTTTCTATCATCTTTTCTTACTACTTTCCATCCATCCACATCTTTCTTGCACTTAAAAGACCCAATTTGCCTCACTTCTCTGTGAAACGTGGCTCTAAGGAGCTTTTCCCTTCTCTGAATGCATCACACAATTTTGGTATTTATAATAATACAGTCTGTGGAAAAGATAATGGAACTTGTCCACAAAAGTTTTAAAGCCCTCCCTTATATTGTCTTGTTTGCACATCTTCCTGTTTGTCTCCAAAACAAAACTGGTAATATCTGGCCTTTCCTCCTAAGAGCCATCTCAGACAGAAAATCAAAAGAACATGTTCCACATCTGTCTGAAGTGGTGGAGACCCCGACCAGAGGAACCAGAGATTGTGGCACAGAGACTAAGGGACAGAGCAAGAGAAGTAGCACCAAGATTATGGGGCTGTGAGGCACCAGATCCGTGGGTGGGCTTCTGGTCCATGGAGGAGAAGCCAAGGGACCATATGGCTGAGATGCTAAGATGCCAGAGAGAAGTGGCTGCTGGCTAAGGAGAGGTTTGGCTGTGGACCAATGACTGCACCCTTCCTGTTCACTGACCCTGACTTGTGGCCAGGATTTATTAATTTTTCTCATAAGCTACTTCAATTATGGAAAACAAAACAAAACTTAACAAAAGTGACCCCCTAATGGGACAATCCAGTCAACAGGCATAAAGTTGATGCTCTACCTCCTCGCAGTGAGTAGTGACTTCAATCTTAAACGCTTACAAGCAGCTTTTAGTCTCTGCCTTGTCTCTATTTGTCCAGAAAAAAAAGAGACAGACGCAAATCCAGCATCAGAGAAAGAACTGGACACAAGCCTTACTGCCTCCATGAAGCACGACCTCTGCTTCCTTGAGACCACCAGGAGTGGAGCTGACCCAGCTACCACTCCCAAAGGCTCTCCTCAAGGGCACAAGAAACAGATGCCAACAGAGAAGAAGAAAAATGTGAAGATCTTCAAATTCTCAAAAGCATTCAGCCTTACTGGCTCTACTATGACTGGAGGAGGCCCTGAGATCATTATTCTAATTTATTCTTTAAATCTGAGATCAAAATTATACCCTGAAGTCAGTTTTAAAATAAGTAACAGATTAGGTCCAAAAGCAGAGATGATCACTTTTAAATATGTTTGTGTGTTTTTTAAAAATCTCTACAAAAGACTACATAGACAACAGCAATTTTAAACCACAGACAACAAGGTTGGAAGACAGGAAGTTTAGGTCAATGGGAGTGAAACAATTAGAACAGAAGTGACAAGGATGTTGACACATGTAAGGAATATAATCAGTATCACTGATTGTTATGTCTAGAAACTGAATAAAAGTGGGTTTTGCTGTGTACTATTTTCATCAAAAATAAAATAAAGCAAAACCTCAGAGTAATAAAAAATTCAAAATAAACGACCACCACAACAAAACGTTCTTAAGACCCCTTAAAGGAATCAGAAATAGTCTATAGAGGATGGAGCTCAAACCCTCATTGGTCACATTTTATTAATTGTTTGCTCTTAAACAAATGATGTCACTTCTCATAGCTTGTGGTTTCCTCACCTGTGTAAGATGAACACTGTAGATAACATTGGACCTCACCTTATACTTCATCAAAATTAAGTGATATGCAAAGCACACTCTTAGTGGCAAAGTTCTTCATAACCAAATTCTCTTTATTCTACATAAAGCCTATCAGGGTACTAACTAAAGTGGGGGTCCACGTGTAGATGTCTGCTCCCTCTACAAAAGGATCAAAGGGTCCAGGTGATGAATCTATTTTTCTCTCTCTAAAGCAGCCCTCAACCAAAGTCTCTAATAATTCAGGCTCAATCCATGCTTGAACAGAAGTCAAGCTTGTCAGAAAGTACAGACGTACAATAAGGAACTGGCTACTAATACGGAAAGTCCTACAATGTGACTTACAGATAAATCAATGTAATGCGTCCCAGGCTCCTACTAAGACTATTGGATTCAGGGTGAAAAGCAAGATATACGCCTAGAGTTTGAGAATTTCCAAACTTACTAGTTGATTCATAGGGACTATGAACGTTTTCCAAGTGGCACTGAAGCTGGAACGGCGTAGAAAACTGGCGATAACAGTGTTGGCAGATGGTGTGCCCATCCACCTCACCATTCTGCTGATCCAGTTCTACGTGGTGCTTCATATGGTTCATGAATCTGCATAGCATGGCACAAACATAAAGTACAAAACACATTAAAATCACCAGTCTTTGATACAGACAACAGCAGAGCCACAGAACAGATTCTCTGCCCTTCTTCCTCTCCAACTCTTGGCCATTTCTTCTGTCTGGAACAGTCCTTTGCTGAGGCTAGAAAACACCACCACAATCAACAAACTCACTGTCATCAAGGCAATTCTGACTCAAGGCGACAAGACAGGACAGGGTAGAACTGCCCCTGCAACTCCTGGCGAGAGTAGAAAGCCACATCTTTCTACCGAGGAGCAGCTGGTGGTTTTGAATTACTGACCTCGCAGTTAGCAGCCCAACACACAACCATTATGCCACAGGGTTCAAAAAAACCCAATAGGTTCTACAAATAGCAGGAGCTCCATGACAGCTGATGAACTGATCTTCTTCACTCAACCCAAAGTTGTTGCTGGAAGCCATGCAGCCCAGCATGACCCCAAGTGATGCTGTGTGACAGAGAAGAGCTGTCCCATAGAAGAAACAGATCACCATGGCCTTCCACCTTCCACTGAGCCGCTGGGTGGCTGCACCACTACAGATGGCTAGTGTTCAACCATCTGTACCATCAAGAGTCCGTAACCCAAAGTTATCTTTTGTATATTACCACAATACTTTTAGGAGTAGTTATTAATATAATAATGTCTTCCCCAACACTGGACAAGCACTACGACTATTCTCCAAAGAGAAACACTTGCTAAATAACAGAGTTCTGCCTTCTCTTGTCCAAGGTAACAAGCAGCCTCCAAGGTTGTTCACTAGCACTTACCGAATGTTGTTTTTCAGCCTTTTGGTACAGTGCGGGCATCGGAAAGATGTGGCGACCTTAGGGAAATTTGTGAGCTGGGCTACTTTGCCACTATCCCGTCCATAGTAGAAGTCATCAACTAACATAATGAGCTTGGTCTGGACCGCATCACCCACATTTTCATTTGGCTCTGGTGCTTTGGTAGGTGGTGACAGAGTAGGAATAGGAGTAGAAGATGGTGTAGACGCAACAGGAGCAGCTTTATCAGGGGATGGAGGCTTTGCTGCTGATGGGACACTGGGTTCTGAGTCCAGAGACTTTCCTTTCTTCAAGTATTCAACCATTTCTGGGCAACAGTACTGCAGAGAAAGAAGACATTTGATCAATTTTGGAGCTAGGTGCTGCAAACTTCCCAGCTTCACTGATGTCCTTTGGCAACAGTTGGGCTTTCGGTCTTCCTAGCCGGGTCTCACCCATTTGTTGTCTACAGTGGATCTAGGTGTCACTCCTTTGCTAGCAAGCCCCTTACCTTGTACTTCTTCCTACCTGTCTTAGAATCCATTAACTACTCACTCACATAATTTGGGTCTGGTCTTCCTGGTAAGAGGAATGTATAATCTTTACATCTCTACTAATACCAAAAATCTTTTCAAAGCTAGGGAATGGGGAGCAGCTCCTGATTATTGAGCAACAGGACACACAGAAAGTTAACGGAGGCCAATTTGCTTGAGTTCTTCTTACCCACCACACCTGACACCTGTCCTCTTGTGAAGTTTCAAAATCTACAGCTAAGGAAGGACATACATCTTTACGTGTGCTCCCCCACATCCCACACCAACTAATGCCTTCCTAACAGGCCCAAACAGAGATAAACCTTGAAAAACCTTCCATGTAATTTCAGAGCCCCGCCTCACAAGCCCCCACTGAAAAGGTAGAGTACAGCAGAAGTCACATAAGCTGGATCCTAGGCACTGGTGGTATCACTTACACACATGTGACCTCTCAACGCTTCAGTAATACGGAACTGAGTTTTACACCGGGGACAGGCTTTCCGTCCACCATCTTGGAGATCAAACACTGGAATGGGAGAGGTCACTAAAAGAAGTGAGAAGCATTAATTAGTGAGACAATAGTGGAAAAGGTAACTGACTTAACTGGAAAATGATTACACACTTCCTGTCAGGTCTATCAAGGGGTACATAAAGCATATCAAGGTAGAAGCACTAGAGCTCACCATGTTTAAGGTACATTCCTTTACCCATCTTTTAACTGTAGGCCAGTGATGGGCAAGTCACAGCGTGAAGGCCTCATCTAGCCAGTCATCTGCTTCTGTATCATTAAGAGTAGTTTGCATATTTTTAAATAATTTAAATAACCTCAAAAGATTAAACTTTTGTGACACATGAAAGTTGTTATTAAACAAATGAAAACTTCAGAGCCCACTAACAATACCGTTTGAGTGGAGGACAGCCATCAGGGCAGAGTTGAATAGCTCAAACAGACCATATCGTCCACAAAATTTCAAATATTTTCTCATGCTTTATAGAAAAAAGTTTGTCAACCTGCTCTAGACTACTGAGAATCTTCATGCTCCTCGTGTTCTCCATCTGAAAGCTTCTCTATCAAACACTCCTTAAACTGTGTTCAAAAAAGCCACCTCCACCATGAAACATCCTTGATTATCCCACCCATCATTAATTAATCCCCAAAGCATAATTACATTGTAATTTTTAAAATTTGTAGCTGATTTGCTTAAGTCTTTCACAAGTGGTTGTCCCCTTTAGTACACTAAAATCTCCTGTAAAAGTAGACGGTAGCGACTATATTTTTGACAACAAATATTTTATTGTTTCTGAATGACTGCCTGCTCAGTCTTCCAAGTACCTTTCATTGAGGACTCAGGTCCACTGGTTCTTTGAGAGGCATGAGCTGGGCTGCTGTTGGATACCACCATTGGCCCAGGACTCTGGCCCAGGGAAGGGATGGTGTTAAGTGTATTCACCAGTTTGGCTACTTCATTGCTATTTTCACCTGTAACCCCAGGTCTCTTGACAGTAACAAAGCTGGCAATGCTCACTGCAGGTGGAGAGGGGAAGGAAGGAGCTATGTTGACCAAGTGATAATCATCCGTTCTCTCCCCACCACCCATCCCCAGCTATGCCATCTCCCATCCCAAACCTCACCTAGCTTGGGATTCGGGGTCTGGTTGGACTGGCCTGGAGGCTGAACAGCTAGTTGCCCCAATGAGGTCGGCTGTGTGGCAGTGGGAGTGGTGGAGGTGCTGGGAGTGGACTTGGTCTGCTGGGATTGGGACTGTGGGACGGTGCTTCGAATGGTGAGAGTGGCTGGGATGACGGTGGTGAAAGTATTGGTGGTAGGTCGCACAGGCATTGTGGAGCCTGGCCTCACTGGGGTCATCTGAGAGAACACTTGTGGGACTCCAACTGTTGGCTTAACAAACTGGGTACCTGGGGCTTCAAAAGAAAGACAAAGAAAAGTACCAAGGCTTGGTCAATGAGCTCATCTATAATAAATATATCCTCCCTTACTTTACTGGAAATACTGGAACAGGAAAAGTTCCTTTCCCCAATCTGGTGATGACCAGAGGTTAAGAAGAGTAGTACAGATTCTGAAGTCCTAAAAAGCAACGTGACTAAGCAGATAAATTTACACTAAATCATGAATCGGCTTGAAAAATGTCAAAATTCAAGAAGATTCCTCATTCCTTCTCAAACACCTTACCCACACTGCCTTTTCTATTCTAAGAATACAATCAAGAGTCTCTTGACCTTGGTGTTAAAAGAGAAAGTTGATACAGGTTGGGAGTCAAAGGGCAGATGTTGCTCTAAAAAAGAAACCCTTCTTTTTCAGTATACTAAAGCTGTATTCCATTCTCTCTAACATAAACCCAAACTGACTATGCATGCCATTAGAATGCCCCAAAGGAGAATGTCTCCTGGCTCATCTATACATAATTCCACTGAGAAATATTTAAGAAATATTAGAACTCAGTACAGTAAGTTATTCAGAATAAAGGCCAAAAAAGCCCTGTGAACCCTGACAACAAAAAACAAAAAAATCTGAAGAATGAGTTACAAAAGCATCCTAAAAACTGCAGAGACAGTCCTGTTTGCACTGCAATTGTGGTAAATTCAGATACAAAATAAAGAACTGAAAAGTATAAAATTTTTTTAATTATAGTTTGACTCATGCCTTAAAAAACACCCATAAAAACAAAAACAAAAACCATCATTAATTGGCAACATCCACATAGTTTATCATTTGGTTAATTATTTATCACATATAAAATCTAATCCCACAATTCAAATGGGTAATCATATGAAATTAAGAAATCTAGGCGGTCTGTAATAATATTCCTGAAGGGAAACTAACTTCATGGCTGACTGAAACACCAGACACAGACAAATGACTAGAGAGCCCTGGTTCACTATGCCAGGAAGGATAATGAAAAAAGTTTAAAATAGTAATTGATAAAATCCCAATGCTGGCCAATGGTTACAGACTTTTAAAAATTTGAGCTTAAGTTGGTAAGATTTTTATATGTTTAGATTGCTTTTATATGTTTAGATTAATGACATTTTTCAAAAAGACCTAGAATACTTTGAAACAACCCCAAACTTCTGGCTGCCATTTTATGACAAATGGATAGACAGTTCTCCTTACCTGGGACTAGAGTAATTGGTCTAACCGTTTGGCCTTGCTGTACGTTCAGCACAATCCCCACCTGATTCATTGCATTTTGTACAGGCCGGACATTCCTTACGGGAAATCCCTGTATTGAAAAGCAAAATGACCTTTAACACGGACACCAGCTAACACTAGCAGAAACTGCAGTATGACCTACAGCCAACAACAACAACAAAAAGCACATTCTTTGTGGTCCTTTCTCTAGAGTTATAACTTCTAGAGGGCTGAGATTGAGGTTTTTTTAAAAAATTTTATTCTTAGTGACAAAATATTTCAAGTCTAATGCTTCATCCTACACTTGGGCCATGCTGTGCTTCGGTGACTAGAATAAGTGAGGCCAAGGCATGCTAGATGCCCCTTGGAGTCCCAGGAGTATCCATTCGTATAATGACTATTTACAATGGAACAGAGACTTGAATAATTTCTCTAAAGAAAAGATAACTTCCTGTTGGGACTGGGTGAGGGCAGTCCTTCCTTTCTTCAATTATTTGTTTGCACATAGGACATAGACATACTAGGGTGTTTCAAAAAGTTTGTGGAAAATTGAATAAAAGGATAATGAGTATTTTGCATTAGCTGTCTGAAACCCCCTCATACCCTAAGAAAACTTTACTTGCAATGTATCTGTCACTATGGCCTTAGTAGCTGATACTGCTGAAGGAATGAGTCTCAACAGAAACCCTGGCTAAAGTTGTTTCACATAATGGAATGCGAAACAGAGCAGCCTTGACTTCCTCATGGCTCAACAAGCTATGAGTTTGTTACTGCTAAATGCCTCTTGTTTTTCACAGATAAATACCTCTGAGAAACAGCAAGACATTACTAAAACACCTCAAAAGGCCACCTGAGTTATGTAACGCATCCCTCCATGATCATACGTTTTTGATATTTTTATTTGGTTTCCTGGACCTTGAATATGCTTTTATACTAGCCAACCTACTACTTTCAATCATTGTGATGGTTATTACAAAACAAGGGGGGAAAGTATTGTTTTTAAAAAGCCCATTGTTAAGCTGATTCCTGCTCATAGCGACCCTGTACAGGGTTTCTGAGGCTGCAAATCTTTATGGGGACAGTCTCATCTTTTTTCCTGTGGAGCCAATGGTGGTTTTGAATGACGGGTCTTACAGCGAGCAGTGCAATGTTCCCCTGACAACACCACTGGGCTTGTTAAATGTACTATGTATTCTGTTCTCCATGCTACAGTCAACACTGGAGACATCTAATTATGTAAAGAAACATGCATTTAAAGAAAACGAATTTTGCTGAGAATGAATAGTTCTGGGATCAGATCTTTAGGAATGCCAAGCTGGTCCTCTAATGTAGCCCTGTTTTTTTTTCCTTTTCTTTTCTTTAATCATTTTACTGGGGGCTCATACAACTCTTATCACAATCCATACATACATCAATTATATAAAGCACTTTTGTATGTTACCCTCATCAGTCTCAAAACATATTTGCTCTCCACTTAAGACGCTGGCATCAGCTCATTTTTTCATGCTCCCACCTCCCTCATGAACCCTTGATAATTTATAAATTATTATTTTGTCATATCTTACACTGTCCGACATCTCCCTTTTCTGTTGTCCGTCCCAGGGAGGAGGTTATATGTAGATCCTAATAATCGGTTCCCCCTCTCTACCCCACCCTCTCGGTATCACCACTCTCACCACTGGTCCTGAAGGGATCGTCCGTCCTAGATTCCATGTGTTTCCAGTTCCTATCTGTACCAGTGTACATCCTGTGGTCTAGCCAGATTTGTAAGGTAGAATTGGGATCATGATAGTGGGGGGAGGAAGCATTTAGGAACTAGAGGAAAGTTGTATGTTTCATCATTGTGTAGCCATTTTTCAAACCCTTCCCCAGTGAGAGCCAACCGTCTCACCCTGAAGATGAGGTCGGAAAGTACAGCAAGGTATGGTGCCTGGTCGCCTCTAATAATAGTTTTAAAACTGAAATAGAGATTCTCTGATCCTCCTTGTACAACAGGCAGCAGCATCTTCTCATGCCCTCTAAGCTACATCCCTGAGACATAATGGTGAAGGTCAGAATAAACAGATTGGGCCACCCTGGGCACTTAGTCACCAGGGCTGCTTTCAACTGTGGCCAAGTGGGTGCTGTTGTCATCAATGACTCCCTCATTAACTTGGACTACATCGTCTGTATCTTCCAGTGTGATTCCACCCATGGTAAGTTCAATGGCACCATCCAGGCTAAGAATGTGAAGCTTGTCATTCATGGGACGTCCACCTCCATCTTCCAGGGGCAAGATCCCACCAATATCAAGCGGGGTGAAGCTGGTTCCTAAACATATCATAGAGTCCACTGGTGTCTTCACAACCACAGAGCAGGCTGGGCCTCACTTGAACGGTAGTACTAAAAGGGTAGTCATCTCTGCCCCTTCTGCCGATGCCCCATGTTTGTGATGGACATGAACCACGAGAAGGCTTGTCAGCAATGCCTCCTGCACCACCACCTGCGTGGGCCCGCTGGCCAAGGTCATCCATGACAACTTCAGCATCATGGAGGCACTCATGACCACAGTCCACGCCATCACTGCCAGCCAGAAGACCAGGGGTTGAAAAGCAGGGCTACATTAGAGGACCAGTTTGGCGTTCCTAAAGATCTGATGCAGAACTCTTCATTCTCAGCAAAATTAGTTTCCTTTAAATGCATGTTTCGTTACATAATTAGATGTCTCCAGTGTTGACTGTAGCAAAGCAGAACAGAATACATAACGGCCCCTCTGGGAAACTCTGGTGGGATGGCCACGGCCCTGCCTAGAACTTCATCCCTGCATCTACTGGCATTGCGAAGGTTATCCTGGAGCTGAATGGGAAACTCATTGGCATGGCTCTCTGTGTCCCCACCCTGCCGTTTGGAGCAAGCTGCCAAGTACGATGACATCAAGAAGGTGGTGAAGCAGGTGTCAGATGGTCCCCTAACAGGCATCCTGGGCTACACTGTGACTTCAACTGTGGCACCCACTCTTCCACCTTGGATGCTGGGGCTGGCATTGCCCTCCATGACCACTTGGTCAAGCTCACTTCCTGGTCTGACAATAGATTTGGCTACGGCAGCCTTTCGGTCCACATGGCCTCCAAGGAAGAAGTCCCCCCTGGGCCCCTGGGCCCTTGGCCCCCCAGCAACAGCACTAGAGGAAGAGAGAGGCCTTCAGCTGCTGGGCAGTCTTGGCCCCAATTGATTCCCCCAACACACTGAGAATATCCCATTATCCAGAGTTTCCACCCAGACCCCTGAAGAAGGGGAGGAGCTGAGAGAACCCAACTTGTCAGGTACCGTCAATAAAGGTCACTACACACAGGCAAAAAAAAAAAAAAACCCCAAACAAACCTTCAAACAGAGAAGCCATTCTCCAAATAAACCCTTACAGAAGATGGTCTGGTTCCTCTGTGGGTGATATACACCTCCTACTACTGGCTTGATCAAAAGGGGCAAATATATAAGTGCCCTGCAAATGGAGGTACCTGGCCTGACTAAAGTGGCCACTCTACATCCAAATTAAACTCCATTTTAAATCAAACTGCAGCTTGAAATAAAATCTCTGCTTTTGCTTCTCTAAAGAGACTATTCTTATTTAAGTTTAACTGTTTGTATTCCTAAAAGGTCAAGGAACAATACTTTAGTTTGTGCAAGGAATTGTTTGTTAAAAGATGTGTACTGAATTTGTGCAGCTTCATCCAAGAAGAATGCCTTGGCCAACCTGTTCCAGGAGGTTAGGAAATAAAAATGACCTTGTTAAGAAGTACTGTGATTTCACAATCCCTCTTAGTTTTTGTCATGCACTCCCCCCTTTGTAGTCCCTTGTATACTTCACCTGATAAAAACTTCATCTCCTTCTTGCAATTCAGAAGGCTATAGTACCCTGCCTGGGTGCTAATGTGTCTTCCCCAAATTCATCAATCTCTCCTCTACTTTTTAATAAAAACCCGGCTTTCACTTTCTAAAACGGGAGGGTGGGGGGATGACACGGAAGACTTGGGAGTGATTCAACATATAAAATAAGAAATTATTTCCAAAGCCTACTTCAAAAGCCATACATAAACTTCTGGCAGATTTACAACTGAATAATTTGTAAATCATGAGACCACAAACAAAGTGAAGCACTTGCCTTTATATTCCACATTCATAACAAGGCTTTCAATTTACCACATCAAATATCAAAGAACACCTTCTTTCTCTTCCAAAAATCTTAATGTCATCAAGTAGATGCTGACTCACAGTGACCCTTCAGGACAGAGCAGATCTGCCCCTGTGAGTTTCCAAGACTGTAAGTAAATATCTATGGGAGTAGAAAGCCTCATCTTTTTCCCAAAGATATCCGCACACTTTATCAATTTCATACACATACCTCCAACAGTCAACTAACTCACCCTGTATTAAGAAAAATGCTCAAGCAAAGGGTTGAAATGGGAAAGGTTTCCTAATCCCAGCGTTCCCACTAATGTGTGCCCAGACCTCAATGAAATCACTGAACATCCCTCCTCAGAGGTGGGAAGAAGACATGGCCCAGTGGTGATGCTATGTTGGGCTTTCTACAGACATCAGCTTCAAATTACAAAACTGCACACAAGAAAACCAGGTCAAAAAGACTGGACTTCAAGCGATTTCGAATGATGCCAAAGACCTTGTCTAAATCACAGCCTCCAAAGGTTTACATAGCTTTTGCTCCTCCTCCTCCTCCTCCTCCTCCTCCTCCTCCTCCTCCTCTACCATACCCAGAATTCCTCTCCAGTCCTAACTCACCTGTGTAGTGATGAATATTGGTTGTGAGGCCACAGAGGAACTAGTCACATGATTGGCATTCTGCATGACCTGGACAGGCCTCAATACTGGTTGAGTAACCATTGTTCCCAGACCCGGGGCCGGGTTCTGGGTCAGTATGAGCGGCTGTCCACCTTGCTGGACCAAAGGATTGCCAGCTAAAGGATAAAAGGAAGAAGAAAATAAAAAAGAGTGTAAGAGAAAATGTAAAATTCGCATTTCATAAGAAGCATTCTGGTCTTAGAAAAGAACTGGTGTTCCAGGTAACTAAATAGCCAAGATTGTCACTCACCTCAGGCTTGATGCCACCAAACTCACCACAATTTTCAGCTTTACCCACATCTACAACTAACAGAAAAAGCAGAGAGGTGGGGCAGGTTCACGAAGCTCTCACCCATGTCTTAAATAGGGACGAAGCACACATCCAGACTTCTATCTGGCTATCACCTGATGATTGAAGTGGCTACAGAGGATGTCCTCATACCAAATCAGTAGATGGAAAGCACAAGTACTTTTCCATTTTAGGAAGGTCTACTTTGTCAGTGTAGCTTTGTTGTCAGCGAATCCATCTTAACCTTTTCGAAAAAGTACTACTGGTGAATACCGGTGCACATCAACTGAGCAAGTACACGAATCTGAAGAACAGCAACTCTTCCCAGTGAGCCAAATCTGAGAAGAGCAACCCCAAGTGGTCTTTGTGAAGGCTCGGGAATCCCGTACCTTTATGTCACTGGGCCTGCTACGCTAACGCATACCAAGTGAAGATAGTGTGATTGCAGGTGATGACTTATAAGGGAGTAAATATTAATAAGGTGGCCTAACGATTACTAAAAGCATTTAAGTTCTGATGGTAGTTAAAAGTTATATATAGAATTATTTTTTACAATTCACTTGGTTAAAGGTCATCATCAGTACCAAATTCCTTGATTTACAAAGACTCAAAACCAGATAGGAATTCTCCAAAAGCCAATATATCTCACTTTTTACCCCAAATAACCAGGATGGGGTGGGTACAATCAGTTGATAAGTTAGAGTCACACTGCAGTTACTACAAAACTAGACGACCAAGCAAAAACGAAATCCACTATCTTCAAGTCAGAGACCCCGAGGCTGTAAATCTTCATAGGAGCAGACAGCTTCTTCTTTCTCCAGGGGAGCAGCTGGCAGGTTTGAACTGCCGACTCTACTGTTAACCCCAACGCACCACCAAAGTTCCTTAGGCTACTAATGACCCCCACTCTCATGGAAAATGAAGTTTATAAGAAGGCTAGAAAACCTCAGTTACTGAGCCAGCAGACTAAGGACTATAGACATTGACAGATAACAAGTCCTATCTATAGTAATTATACAGGTAATTTGACTGCTTTAAATTTTTTAAAGTGTTTTATTATATAGAAGTTCAAATGTGTATAAAAACAGAATAATTTAACGAAACCCCATATGCTCATCACCATGCTTCATTAATCAGCAACTGATGGCCAAACTTGTTTCATTCCTTTACCCCCACCTGTATTATTTTGAAACAAGTTCTGAGTTATATAATTTCATCTGCAAATCTATTTTAAAATGCAGCTCTAACAGATAAGTAGTAAACCAAACAAAATGCCCAAAGCATACCACCATTAGAGGATAAAAGAAAAAATCACAATTATTTAACCAACCCTCTGCCTCTCGGTTGACTCTCAAATTAAGTAGCAGGGACTTGCAGCTAGAAATGGATCTGAAACCAGGAGGGGAGGAGGGGTTTCAGCAGCTGCTCTAACAACTTGTTTGCTTTACAAATCTAAAGAGGCTTTAACTTTTTCTACATCGTTTTAAGTTTACTTTAAAACAGAAAAGTCAGTTGCCTTCAAGTCAATTCTGACTTCCGGTGACTCCCGTTTTCGCTGGCTGTAAACTTTTGGAAGCAGACCACCAAGGTCTCTCTCTGAGTTGCCTGTTACATACCCTTGAACCCCAAAGAGCGGAGCACATGATAGGAGCTGCAAATCCTAATTAGTAATAAGAAATGCACATTACATGCACCTGCTCTACAGCTCAAAAAATAAGCACATGAAGTGTTTGTCATTCTCCTTTTTTCTAGTGTAAATATGTAATTTCTAAGTGTTGAATCACCATAGGGTCACTATCAGTTGCAATCAATCGTAGTGAGCTTTTTCAAAGAATTGAGTTGTGGACTTGAAGGACATAAAATAGTTTCAATATTTTATTCCTGAAACTTTCTTAAAAGCAAAACAGAAAATGTTAAGCTGCATACAGATTATCCTTCAAGGGGACATTTTTGTTTTGTTTTTAAGTGAACACAAGGCTTGACAACCATCACCAATACCTGATACCACAGCTTCATCACCCCCCAAACAAACCCTGTATCCATTAACACTCATTCCCCATGCCTGCTGGCAATCAATATTACTTTGTTTCTGGTTTTGTCTATTCTGTGCATTTCATATAAATGAAATTACATGCTATGTGGCCCTTTGTGACTTTGTTTATGTTACATGATGTCTTTAAGGCTGATACTATGTCTCAGTATCTCATTCCCTTTTAATCATGGTAAGTATATAACAAAATATTAGACATTTCAACAATTTTCACACACATAATTCAGTGTCACGGATTCCATTATCATGTGCAGCCATCACCACTATTCTTTTTCAAATGGTCTGACTACCACTAACAGAAATTCAGTGCTCCCGACATGCTCACTCCCACTTTCCTCCCTTAGCCATTAAATTTTGGTCTCTATACATTTGCCTAATACATATTAAGTGGAATCATTCAGTGTCTTTTTGTGACTGACTCAAGGTTCATCCATGGTGTAGCAAGTACCAGTACTTAACTTCTCTTCATGGCTGAGTAATATTCTATTGTATATTTGTACATTTTATTTACCCATTCACCTATTGTTCCTACCTTTATGCTATTGTGTGTGCTGCTAGAGTGAACACTGGTGTACATTATCTTTTTGAAATGCTGCTTTCAGTTGTTTGGAGTATATACCTAAGGCTTGGGATTGCTGGTTTCTAAGTAGTTCTATGCTGAACTTTTTGAGGAAGCATCAAGCTGTTGTCCAAGCTGTGGTACATTTTGCACTCCCTTCAGCAATGGATGAGGGTGTCAATTTCCCCACATCCTTGCAAACATTTAAAAAAAATAGTGTTCTTGGCATGTAATTCACTAATAATAGTTCAATCATATTAACATTTTTTTCAATCTTAGCTATCGTACTGGGTGTGAAGTAGTATCTCATTGCGGGTTGTGATTCCTTTCTCTCTAATGACTATCAAAGGAACGCTGGTGACCTGTCGGGCAAGTAACTGAACTGCTGTGAGGCTGGAACTTCAAATTCAACAGCAGCTCCAAGGGAGAGGGATGAGTCTGTCTGCTCCCATGAAGATTTACAGCTTTGAAAATACTATACAGGGTCACTATAAAACACTCTGAGCCAGAATCAACTCAATAGCAGTTGGTAACAATTTCTGACAAGGAGTCCTGGTGGTGCTGTTGGGCAAGTGTTCTCTACTAACAATAAAGTTGGTGGTTCAAATCCACCCGCAGTTCTGTGGATGGATTGACATATATGCTCCCATAAAGATTTACAGCCCCAGAAACACTAAATTGGGTCACTATTAGAATAGGCTCGATGGCAGTGGGTTTGTTTTTTACAAAGTCTACATCCTTCATGTGATAATGTAGGGCAAAATTGTGTTCTTCTCCTTTCCCGTTCATCCTTTTAAAAACCTTTTTAATCTTCTTAATTGTATTTTAGCTTTTGATTCACAGGAAATGTTACATAGTTACATTTACCTAGTGTGTCCCAAAGTAGATGCCACCCCCTAAAGGGCGCTGGAATAATGCAGGAGGGATGCAAAAACAGCTACACTAACTCCTGTAGTATGGGATGTAGCACAAAAGTTTTTAATTACCAGAGGGGTGGCTAAATAATTTCTTTTCTGAAAAGGGGACAGTAAGCCAAATAATAAATAAGTTTGGGAAACCTATGAGGTCCTCCAACACAGGGAAGAGAGTCTGAAATAAGCGGATATGAATGTATAGAGCTAACTGCCTCTGTGCACTGCATACTTTGCCAAGAGATCAGAACTGGATGGTACCCAGCCGCCAATACGGAATATTTTTATCTAAGGTTCTATAGAGGTATTGTGTTTAAAAGGGGGAGGAGGGGGAGGGGAGGAGAGAAGGAATGTAAAACAAGATTTCAAGGTTTCATAGACTCAAGAATTCTTAAGAGAACCATGCAGGTTGCTGAACCCCTGAAACTATTGCCGAGATAATATTTAAACCGTAAGCCAAAAATATTCCCAAAAGTCTTCCTAAAAATCAAATTTAATTTATGTGTATAAAAGGTCTGCCTTGAGTACTGGCTTTTTAAAGAACTATGTACATGGTGTTAAATCGGCAACTTCAAAGATTAGATGGGAACATTAGGGGGCAATGAGTTTATGTTAATGGAGAAGGAACAATTCGTGAAAGGAAGGTGAGAATGGTTATGTAATTACAAATGTAATTAATTTCACTAAATGGTACATGTGGAAACTGCTGGATTGGTATATGTTTTGTTCTGTGCATTCTCAACAAGACAAAATACATATAAAAAGTAAAATACAATAAAAATTTAAGTTGAAAATATAATGATAATGAACATGCCTGAATGCACTATTCAGCTTATAAATAGAAAATATAAATAGAATTGTTAATGGTCCATCTGCTTGTCTCACTCCCAGAAGTAGTCGCTTCCTCTAATTTGTGATTTAATTCTCCTGCTTTTAAAAAAATTGTTTTATTGTATACTTTCAATAAGTAATATATATTTTAACTATATTTGGCTTATTTTATTTTTTCTTCTGTACTTGTTTTTAAGTTCATGAAAATGCTATAATATAACCACAACATATATACTGTAACCCATGATCACTGCGTTGATTCTAACTCATAGCAACCCTACAGCACAGAGTCCAACTGCCCCTGTGGAATTTCTGAGGCTGTGAATCTTTACAGAAGCAGAAAGCCTCATCTTTCTCATGTGGAACAGCTGGTGGGATCAAACTGCTGACTCTGTGGTTAGTAGCCAAGTGCATAACATATATTCATTTTAAATAAACATTGAATCTAAGATCCATCCGTGTGGCTGTGTGTAGCT